GCCCGTGGAACGCGGTCTTCTTCTTGTCATCCTCGGCTATCGGAATCTGGTTGAACCCTTGGCGCAAGTCCAGTGTTGAGAAGACCCAGCTCCCATGCAGCTGGTCGAAGATCTCCTCCGCCATTGGCATGGGGTATCTGTCAGTTGCGGTGACCTTGTTCAGTCCCCTATAGTCCCCGCACATGCGACGGGACAGGACTGCCCCCGTCAGATCTGTCCGTGCTGCTACCACTGTCGCTGCTGCGTAGTCCGACGTCGACCGCCTAATCAGTCCAGCTGCTAGCAGCTCTTGGCATTTCTCGGTGCAGACACTGAGGTCTTGAGGGCTCATTCTCCTTCGCCGCTGATACACCGGCACTTCACTGGTCAGCGGTAGGTGCATGGTACTGGTTACACACTTGCCCAGCTGCTGTAGCGTGTGAGCGAACGCCGCTGCATGCTGTCTTAGTACTGCTTCCAGCCTGATTGCCGCGGGGCCTTGCATAGCGTTTCCGATGTCCCACCGCGTCTCAGCTGCCCCCGCTGGCGCTTCTATCATCCTATTTCCCGCCGCTCCCTCTGCTACCCTTGTCGCTGCCGGCTCCCTTCCTATCCCTTCACCTGCCTCTGCTGCCTCCTCTTCCTCCTCTGGCCCTATCCCCCTCAAATCTTCTGCTGCACTTGCCATGTAGGCTCGGCTAGGTCCTAAAAAGACTTCGTCCGGGTCTGGTATCCACAGCTCTGTCGGGTCCTCTTCCTCCTCTGAATCCCAATCCATCTCTGGCTCTCCTTCCCACCATTCCTCCTCTTCTTCTTCCTGGTCTGGATATGTGCCTGGGACTCCCAGGTGGTCGTTTATCCTGGCCATCCTCTTCTCCTGCGGCACTCCTCTTCGCCGCATCTCCCACGCTTCCTCCTCTAGGAGCTCCAGAAACTTCGCAGCCTGACTTTCCTTCTCGGCGTCGTCTTCGGTCTTTGGATCTGCCCGCGCTGCATGGTCCCTTCTTCGCTCCCACCGGTTCCGCTCCAGTTGCCGGTCCATCGTTGCTATCAGCCAGTGCAGCGCGTTGAGGTCCATTGCCTTGCCTAGAGCTCTCCTCCTCTGGTCCTCTGTCACATCTGGGCTTGCCGTCGCTCCTGCCATGAAGCCCATGGCTAGCTCCCGTTCCATTGCGGTTGGCTCTTCCCAAACCCCTTTCAGCCGATCAAATACCATCCCCGGCCCTTCTTGCCCGTTCTTCAGCTTGAATCCCTCTGCGTTCTGGTACGCTACCAGCGTGGGCCAGGCCTGCCGTGGCTTGCCGACCTCATTGCACGGGTACTGTGTCTCATGATCTGCGTGGCGCACCGGCGCTGGGGTCCGGGCCGGTTCCAGGATGTCCGCCACCAGCCGTGGCTTCGGTCTTTCCATGAGTGACAGCTCGTACTGGAGCATGGCCTCTGGTACCACGTTTTGCCAGTACCTTCTAGGCCTGTGAGCCCTGCTGCCGTTCTGAGCTGCATCTCATGCTACCCCTGCTCCCAGCTCTCCTCGGATTTCCTCCTCTGCTTGCTTCACGGCTTCTCGCGGATCGTCCCTTGTGTCTACATTCTCCGCGATGTACGCCACTTCCCCTTGCTTGCGCTTGATCAGCTTCAGCACCCTGATCAGTTCACAAAACAGTCCGCTCCTCGGATCCGCCATACCTCGTCCCTCTCCCGCCCTGGACAGTCCTTGACACTCCCATCCCGCCACCACCAAGTCAATGTGCCCCCAGTGGGCCAGAGCCTCTTCCTTTACATCTTCCACCCGATGACAAACCCACTCTGCCCCCCTCTCCACTGCTCCCTCATACAGCTGCGACGGGTACCGAGCCTCCAGCTTCTTTATATGATGCCAAGATATCGTGCTAGCCACGTCGTCATTGTCCACGTAAATGTATTTCTTCACCGTCACTCCTGCCTTCAGGGCTGCCGCCAGTCCAGTGCTGATTCCCCCGAATAGCTCTAGCAGTACGATCGGCTTCTGAAACACTCTACCATCCAGGTGCAGCTGCTTCAAGCTGCCGCTCTCTCCCCACTGCTGGCGATGCCAGTCTCTGTACCTCCTCTCTTCCTCCAGTGCTTCCCAGTTCAGATGCCCCAGCTCTTCTTCCGCCGTCTTCACCTCGGCTTGATATGCTTCTCTGGGCTCTCTCCGGATGAAGCGCACAGGTAATTCTGCCACGCAGCCATCATACTCCCAATACGTCACCCTGTAAGTCAGCCGTTCCTCCCACATGCAGATGGTGGAGCCGATGCTATATAGAAATTCTACTCCCAACAGCAGGTCGTAGTCCTCGGACGGTGAGAGACCGCACTGCAGCTTCACCGAGCATTCTTCCGGGCTTCCTTGCCGGATCACGATCTCTACTGTGGCACGCGTCTTGGGCATCCACTTTGTCCCGCCTCCTTCAGCCGTCATGAGCAGCAGCCCCTCCGCTATCTGCCTTTTTGGCCTATCTAGCTGCAGTTGCTCCGTCAGCCGCCTGCCTATCAACACCGGGTGTGCGCCCGTGTCAATGATAGCCTGCTTCACTGGCAGGCCGCCTATGGTAATATACCCCTTCTCTGCCACCAGCACTGAAGCGGCGCAACTGAGCCTCTCCAGCGGATGTCGGCGTGGTGCCACTCCTGCCCTCTCCTCTCCGGCTGCCCTTCTTGGCCCGTGCTCCTGCCGTCCTTCCGTCCTCTGCCTGAGGTACCTCTCCCTTGGCCTCAATCCCAGCTCATCCCTGTCCCTTGCTGGTCTCGCCATAAACCCGCATTCCTCCTCGCTTTCTTCTTCTTCCTCCTCCTGCCGAGCCACCATAGCTGGCCTGCGCTCCGGCTCCCTCTCTCGTTCCTCCAGCTCTGCTCTCAGCCGCTCTATCTCTGCGCGCATCTCTGCCATTTCTCCCCTTTCTCGCGGTTCTCCCCGTCTAGAGTAGCACTCCTTCTGCGTGTGACCCTTCCTCCCGCATTTGTAGCAGGTTGGCGCATCAGGGCAATCCCTCCGCAGGTGGTCTTCTTTCCCACAGATAGAGCAGGCCGGCGGATTGTGACAGTATCGACGCAGGTGTCCGCTCCTCCCGCAGTTGTGGCACTTGCGCGGGTCTGCCGGTCCCCTCGGTGGCCGCTCATGTTCCACTGGACTGGCACTCCACGCAGGTCGCCTTCGCTCCATCGATCGCTCAGTGGTTCGCTCCACCTCGAACAGCCGCCGCCCTGTCTCCACCCTTTTCGCCGTTTTGTATGCCTCTTTCAGTGTCGCTGCCGCACCCAACTCGAAAATCTTCACCTGCACGTCTCTCTGGAGTTCGTAGTTCAGGCCATTTAGGAACTTGCTGACGAGCCGCCCTTGATTGGTGTAGTTCATGTCTTCCCCCAGCTCTATTAGTCTCCCGTAGTACGCCAGCAACGATTCTCCTGTCCTGCGCTTGAAGTCCCAAAACTCCACCACCCTTTCTGGCGTCTGCAACGGGAATTGCTCGCGAAGCATCTCCAGGAACCGTTTCGTCGGATCTCTTTCTCCTGCCTTCCCCTTTAACGCCCAATCCAGCAGTTCGCGGCGGCAGATCCGGTAATATGTCTCCGCTTCGCCTGTCAGCGTATTTGCTAATCCCCGGAAGAATTCTTCCGACGCCAGCTGATCTCGCTCCCATCTCGCCCGCAGGTTATCTAGCTGCATGAGATAATTCTTCAAAGAAGGCCCTCGACGCACTTCCCCCGAGAAACGTTCCGGTACCTCCACCTTCGGCAACATGGTGTAGCGCAATCGCGCCGACGCCGTCTCTTCTTCGAACCCTTGCCACGACGCGCTACGCTGATACTGCCGATCTATTGCCGTCTTAGCTCCGGCGATAGCACCCGTCCGTTCTGACGCTGCTCTCTTTGCCTTATCTTCCGCTCCCTCGTTATCCGTCTCGTGCGTCTCCTCTCGAGCGGTGCCGGAGCCCGTGGCCCCCTTTTGTACACCGTGCTTGCTTCCTTCCGCGCCGTGCGCGTCGACTCCTTCCTTAGCCGCCTCGTTATTCTTGCCGTCGCCTTCCATCGCTACGTTTCGTACCAACAAATCCTTCGCGGCGAAATCCAATCCTGACCTTGTGGGTATGCCTCCTCAGATTGCTTGTATGTGATGAGCTCTAAGCTCCGTCACACACACTAGATCCTACTTCCGCTTATCAACTACCCATTGCCTGTCATATCTCCCTGACGCCACTACTTGCTCAGATTACAGCAAAGTACTCGTGTAGAAAGGAAACATACAAGCAATGGATAGATTGTTCAGGAATCCTCCTATTCTACCAGCACTACCACCTCCTTTCTCCTGTCCTATCACCCTGCCTACGCTAGCAGCTATGAGCTGCTTCACACAGGCTCACAGCCGAGCTGCTTCTCGCCACTCTTCCCCGCCCTGTCTTCTTAACCTCCAGCTGTTACTGCCAGATCCAGCTGGCTTCCCGAACCTATCCTGCACACATAAGAAAACAAACACGCATGCACACCTCCACCCAGCCATTACATCCTGTGTCCTGCTTCCTGCTGTCGCTGCCGCATCTGTCTCTGTTCTACAGCCCGCCCCCCCTCTGTTTACATAAGTTCCAGCTCCCCGCTTACCCATGCAATCCTCTGACCCATAGGCTCGGCAACCGTCAGCTCCCCCTCCTCCCTGTTCCGCCCCCGAAAGGTGAAATGTCTCTTCGGCTCCCCACCTCCCCGCAGACCGACTCGCTATGTACAATATCTACAGTATATACAGTCCCTTTCCGCACCACCTTACCCTTCACATTCATACAAATGTGACACTCGCCCTCTCACGCACTCTCTCACGCACTCTCTCACGCACACTCTTATGTGCTCCCTCACATGCTCTCTCACGCAATCTCTCGTGCTCACTCTCACGCGCTCTCACACATTCAATCGCACTCCTCGTGCACTCTCTCGCGCATTCTCTCTCTCTCACTCGCTCACTTATGCACACTCTCTCGCACACTCTCATGCGCTCTCTCATATGCTCTTTGATGCAATCTCTCACACGCTCCGTAACGCGCTCTCTCACGCACTCTCTGACACGCACTTTCTCACGTGCTCTCTCACGCACTCTCTCACTCACTCTCTCACGCGCTCCCTCACGCGCTCCCTCATGGGCTCTCACGCACCCCCTCACATGCTCTCTCTCTCTCGCGCACTCTCTTGCACATTCCCTCAATCACGCGCTCTTTCTCGCACTCTCCCACGTGCTCCCTCACGCGCTCTCACGCACTCTCTCACGCACTCTCTGTCGCACTCTCTCACGCACTCTCTCACGTCCCTCTCACGCGCTCTCTCACATGCTCTCTCACACACACTCGCTCTCTCACTCGCTCCCTCACGCACTCTCTCACATGCTCTCGCACGCGCTCCCCCGCGCGCTCTCTCACTCGCACTCACACGCGCACTCTCACACGCTCTCTCACGCGCTCGCGCTCTCTCACTCGCACTCTCACACGCACTCTCACGCGCACTCTCACACGCACTCTCTCACGCACTCTCAAGCTCTCCCTCACGCTCTCTCTCATACACTCTCTCACATGCTCCCGCAATCGCTCTCGCATGCGCACTCTCATGCGCTCCCTACACATGCTCTCCCTTGCGCTCCTCTTCTCTAAATAAAGTGCAATGCAAGAGGAGACAAATTGATTAACAATATTTACGAGGCGAGCTGAAAGAAAAAATAAGGAGAAATTTCGGAAGGGGGCGGGAGGATTAAAGGACCAAGAACGCACCTGATAATCACAATTTCTCAAAAAATAACCCGTTGGCGCACCAACCCGCGCTCGCGCACCCACCCGAGCTCGCGCACCAACTCCCGCTTGCGCTCGTGCACCTGTCGCCAGAGATGACGGAAGGGAGGAGGGAGAGGCGATGGCGGGGAGGATGGAGAGGCGATGGCAGGGAGGAGGGAGAGGCGACGACGGGGAGGAGGGAGAGTTGACGGCGGGATAGGAGGGAGTGGCGGTGGCGGGATTGGAGAAGAGGCGGCGGAGGGATAAGAGGGAGTGGCGGCGGCGGGGTGGGAGGTAGTGGCGATGGTGGGGAGCGAGGGAGAGGTGACAACGGGGTGGGAGTGAGAGGCGACGACGGGGTGAGAGGTGGCGGCGGGATGGGAGGGAGGGGCGGCTGCGAGATAAGAGGGAGAGGCGGCAGGTGATGGTAAAACGCGACAGTTGTGGGATGGGCGACGGTGGGTTGGTAGAAGGGAGAGAGTAGGTATAAGAGGAATGCGAGTAGAGCAGTTTGAATTGGAAGGGAAACGGAATGCGCACAGCAGCAAAGCGACTGGTAGAGGTAGCAGGGTAGAATAGGTACAGTAGGTGCTCAAATTCAAGAAACCAAAGTCAGCGGAGAATTCGAGTTGACAGCGGAAGAAAGGAAGGGTCTGAGGTGCTGGCAAGAAAATTGGTGGTTGGGAATGTGTGGCGCTGGCAAGATTTTTTTTTGTCAGGACAAAAAGAGGTAAAAACGGTTTTCCAAATAAGCGTACATTCGTATCACGATTGGGCGAATTGCAAACTAAATTCACAAGCGAATTTGAACATAACATGGGCATATGATAAACAAAAAACGCACACACACACACACACACAACATTGGTAAGTAGGATCACGTTACAACATACGCATGATCACGCTAAACAAATCCACTAAGAATCATGTGATATTGCTAATTAGTTGTAGGTGAAAACCACAAATTCGTATTATAATAACAAGTAAAATATCAATCTTTAAATCGTTCCCCACTAACTAGCACCAGGAGACAAATTCTAAGCGTATTTTTTAGTGAGGAAGTAAAAGCCCGTTCTAAATAGGAAGTGCATTTTCTGTTTTTTTTTTTTTTCTAATACTATGATAATAACGCCTACGCCCCTCCGACGTTAACGTCGAGTCATGTTTTTCTTGTTACCTCTGAAATTGAGAGAGCGAGCGAGAATTGCACTATTGAAGCAAAACAGTAAAGGCATGAGCAAAGAATATATACCAAAGCTAGAGGGGTAACGGTAATGTGTGAAAAATGGGGTGCGCTATGGGCCTAGCACCGAGGATGGGAATTGCCAAGGCGGAGGTCCGGAACGCGGATTACCAACAAATGCACCCGAACTTGCTCACCGAACTTGAGCCTTCACCGGTGAAGCATGTCACATCGGCTCTGAGGCAGCGAGCAGAGGTAAAGGGCATGGGCAAGGCCATGCTTAAGGGTGCTGATGGAAAGATGGTGGGCCTCAAGAACGTGCTTTGGGTGCCCAGCCTTGCTGCGAACCTGATTTCCGTGCGGCGATTGGCAAAGGCCGGCATGGACACGAACTCGAAGGGAGCCAAGACCTACACCGCAAGGATTGGCGACTGGATCCTTTGGGACCTTCATGAGGACAGGGATGTCTACAACGAGATGTGGCAGATCCTTGTGGCGCGGACGGTCGCGCTAAGGAGAACGAGCTCAAGAAGAGCAAACCTGGAGGGACCAGCAAGTTGTGTGATCCTAAGGAGAGTGGTGCAGCAGCCAAGGAGCAGCACAAGGGTGAGGAGAACCCCGAGGCAGCAGCGAAGGAGGACAACGGAGACAGTATGTGTGGCGCTATTGCGAGCACGGCATTCTCCAATCCGACTTCGGCTACGGAGGAGCGTGAGTGGCTCAACTTGCATCGGCGCATGGGGCTTGTGGCCCTGCCCATCTTGCAGCAGCTAGTGAAGAACCAGATGGTTGCTGGCATACGTGTGAAGGGGGAGCCCGATGAGGTACTTGGCTGCCCGACGTGCATGCAAGCCAAGTTCACCCAGTTTCCGTTCTCGAGCTCGGGGGCAACGGCTAAAGCACCACTTGATAGGTGGTGATGGATGTGGTGGGCCCCCTGAAGCTTGGAGCTGCTGGTGCAGAGTACTTCCTCACCATTGTCGACGGCTATACCCGCATGAGTTGGGTGTATGTGCTGGCAAAGAAGAGCGACGTGGCTGAAACGTTGAAGACGGATTGGTTCCCGATGGTGGAGCGGCAACAAGACCGTCTAGTCAAGTCAATCCGCACCGATCGAGGGGGAGAGTTCCTGAGCAAGGAGTTTGGGTTGTGGCTGAAGAAGAATGGTATTTGGAACTCCTTCACCATGCCATACTCCCTGCAATGAACGGCATCGCCGAGCGAGCGAACCGGACGATCACGGAGGCAACACACGGGTTGCTCATTTAAGCCATGCTACCCGACTATTTCTGGCCTGATGCGGTGCGTAGCGTGTGTTTGGCCAAGAACAGAGTTTTGAATCATGTGGGAGCATACAAATGGGTGCCCTATGTGGAGTGGCTTGGAAGGAAGCCAAAGGTGGATATGCTTCGGGTGTTCGGGTGCATGTGCATGGCGCTCGTGCCTAAGCATCTTCGGCACAACAAGCTTGGTGCCAAAGCGATATGGGCTGTGCACTTGGGCATGGCTCAAAACAGCAAGGGGTGGCTTCTTTGGGACCCCTTCACCAAGAAGTTTTTGGTGAGTAGAGACTGCAACTTCATGGAGAACCTCATGTTCAAGAATTGGAAGGCGGAGAATGAGGCAAAGATAGGCGTGCGGTTTGGGGAGGTGAAGAGTTCCGGCTTGGAGCACGTGGAGCTGCCTTTGGAGCTGAGCAGTGGCAGCACCACCACAAGGCAATCTTCCCTTGTGAATGGGGGAGAGGAGGCCAAGGATGCAGAGGAAGAAGAGGAGGAGGTGCAGCAAGTGAGCGAGCGTGCACCGACACATCCTTCCCGCACTACGAGCGCTCCACGGAATCGAGCCACACCGCAGCAACGCCAAGGCCTTCAAGTCCCTGCAGCTGAAGAGGAAGGAAGGGCTAAGAGGAAAGTTCAAGCCCCTAGTAGGCTGACGTATGATGCGCCAAGAAAGCCGGGCAAGACAGCCCTGGCCGAGCGGCAATGATGGTCGGAGACGACGAGGAGAGTGACTACGAGGAGTGTGCCTTCGCGTTCTTCTCTCCGGTGGAGATGCCGGGAGAACCAGCAACTCTCAAGGAGGCCTTGGAGAGTAGTGATGCTGAGGAGTGGAAGAAGGCAATGGAGAGTGAGCTAGCAAGCATCAAGGAGAATGACACGTTCGAATTGGTGGAGCTACCGGAGGGGCGTACGGCAATAACGTCCAAGTGACTCTTCAAAATCTAGTCGGATGCCGGCGGCAAGATCGAGCATTTCAAGTCTAGGCTGGTAGCCAAGGGGTATCAGCAGAAGGACAAGGTGAACTTCAATGAGCTGTTTGCTCCTATGGTGAAGCCGACGACGCTGCGAACCCTACTCGCGGGAGCCGCGATCAAAGGTTGGGTGGTGAAGCAGCTAGACATCGTAACGGCGTTCCTCAACGGAATCCTCGAGGAGGAGATTTTCATGGCGCAGCCAGAGGGGTTTGATGACGCTAGCGGTAGAGTGTGGAAGCTTAAGAAGGCCTTCTATGGGCTAAAGCAGGCCCCTAAGTAGTGGTACTTGAAGCTGTGCGAAGTGTTGGGGGAGATCGGCTTCACTCCCACAACGACCGATCACTCCTTGTTCATGCTTCGTGAGAGGGGGCAGAGGAGCTTCATGGTGGTCTATGTGGATGATATTTTCATCTCCTCACCCTCCTCTGACCTTGTGAAGGAGGTGATGCTGAAGCTTCAAGACAAGTTCAAGTGCAAGTCCCTTGGAGACATAAATTTCTACCTCAGGCTTCACATCGAGCGTGATGTGGAGAAGCGGTGCATGCGGGTGCACCAACGGAAGTACCTGGAGGCATTGGCTGCCAACTTTGGGCAGAATGAAGGCCATGTGGCTACACCCTTTCCCTCTGGGTTCTGTTATAGTCACAGTAGGCTTCAATGTGCCTAAAAACGGAAGCTAGAGTGCACAGACGGATTTCTGCACAGCGGCTTCAAACGTTCATAGCGATCTGGTCAGACCTCCAAATGACCTCATTCAACTTGGATCTAGAGCGTCTTGACGTCCTCTACAATAGGCAATTTAGATCGCACGATTTCATCAAGAATTGACGACACAGCGTCAGATTGAACGAACGGCACTATGGCAGCAACATTGCCTTAGAACACAAAGTTACGAACATCTAGGAAGAGTTACGAGTTGGGAAGGACTCCCAGCTCCTACAAACCCCAAGAGCCGAGGTACAGTGATGGGGAACAGTGCCACACTGTCCCCAACCAAGAAGGGTCTCGAAACTACCCTTCACAAGGGCCTACACCAACTGAAATGTTACACTACACTTTGTAATGTAACAATCTTCAATATCTTGAGGTGTACCCTTTGGCGAGCTTCGAAATCACTTGAAGCTTGAACCAAGGCTCGGGTTCTTCACCACAAACTCATCCTTGAGTTCTTGATGGGTCTGCTGCACACACCTGCGACACGCCGAACGTTCGACAAGCGACAAAATAGAAACCGCGCACGACAAAATAGAAACCGCGCGGGACACACAAAATGATCGCGTTACACGCGACTAGCGATATTACGCTATTGACTTGACACACACACTCGACATCATGACCCATCATACACACACCATTATAAGCATGAAATATATATTTATTTCATGCACTCATACCACTCCATGCACACACGCATGCACACACACGCACACGGACAACAAGCCG